TATGGTTTTAGGAAACGTTTCCAAATTCCTCTTTAGGCTATCTCTATAGACATCCCAGGAGGTCACTTTTGGATCCCTAAAAGCAACAGTTTCATAAGTTGGTGATGCTCCAATCACAATCTTAATGTGTTTTAGATCAGACATCGAATTTTCACTACTTACATGCCAGTCAGTAATCTGCCATTATATCTGAAACTTTTTACCTAGCACGCGTTACAAAGGTTAACCCTAAGTTTAGGCTTACGAGGCGATTGGATATGAGAAATTCATAAAGTAACTCACCTCTCTCATTGATGTTAGTGCTTTCCTATGCTGTGTGGTGAGAATTAGCATCACATCCTAGTCCTACCACAAGTTCGGCGTTGTACTTTCGGGCGAACTCCGCCACTCGCTCTAACTCGATGGCAGAATCTGGGTTCTCTCCGGGAAGTTAGGCTGAGCAAATGATTACTATGGCCCCTGTACATCCCTTGAGATTTCCTCCACCACGGCAGAAGCAGCTGCTACATGGTAAATATTTGCCTGAAGGACTTTCGTCTTACCCTTGGGTTAGCCATTTATAAGCGTGGGGGGGCAGGGGTCGTTTTCGCCTGCTTAGGATGAAAACGTCCTTCACTGGCGTTCTTGACGCCCGCCGAACCTTTCGGTCTTACCACTTCTATCTCCCTTCCCCTTACCCCTGGCCGACAACAGCGAAGGCCCTCGAACCGAGGCCAGATCAGTGCCTTGGGTCTCAGTCATTCTCACTGATGATGTTCCAGTCTCACCCCGCGAAGTGGAGAGCTGGGGGATTGGAATTGTAGCGCTTCAGGCTCCATTGCCGCGTCAAAGCCTCCCCTGACCTTAAAAGCGTACCGTGCAGACGGATGCGCGGCTGAGTGAGTATTGTCGCAAACGGCGCCTATCCGAGACTAGGGCGTTTCAGGTAGTGTTTTAGCCCTTCCCTCGGCATGTGGGGCTCTGCTGGAGGTGACCGAATTTTTCCCTAGCTAATCGTGGGACCAAAATGGATGAAAATCGACATTTGGACAAAATTATGAACTCTCCTTTAATGGAACTATCTGTAGGTCGGGATGAGGCTCTTTTAGCCTCACCAACACCCTGCAACACTACGCCCCAACCTGGGACGAGCCGAGAAGTGAAGGGCACGTCTGCAGCCGAACCATAGTCGGAAACGAACCAGGAAGAGGAAAAGAAAAAGTTCGCTAGGCCTTATGAGCATAGTGGGGCAAAATGGAAGAAGTACCGAAGGCTGATAGCAACTGAGACATGAGCCGAAGAGACTCTTTCTCTCTGCCAGAAGCCCCGGGCTGAAATTCTTGGGCAGAGGAATCCCCTCTCCCCCAGTTCCGAAGGCGAAAACACGCAGTCGTTTTGAGGAGTCCCCAAAAACCAGCCCAGGAAATATGTGAAGTTGACAACGGGGGAAAAGAAGCTCAGCTTCAGTGCAGTAGCTGGCTCCGCGTTTGTAGGAATTCGCAATCCAAATCCTATGAGCCTAGAAGAAATGCGGCTGGTCCAACGAACACTAACCCTATTGGCTAAGGCTATCGCTAAGACGGCCTGTGGAGCACAAACGGGAATGGGACCGAAATTATCGGGTTTCACCTACAAGTCAGGTTGGATTCTGGTAACGTGCCTCAATAAGGAAAGCCAGAGCTGGATTGTGGGTGAAGTCGGAGAACTGAAACCCTGGCCGTAGGCAGAACTCTTGATAATACCCGAGAGCGAACTGCCTAAACCTCAGCCGGGCATCACCTTTCTGCCTCGCAGCGAAGCTGACTCTCCAGAGGAACCGGCTGTGCAGTTGAGGACATAAAATGAAGGGATCCATGCCAAACTCTGGAAAATCCTCTAGCGTAGGGACGAATATAATGGGTTCCTAGTAACTTTTTCTCTTCGACGACCATCGACCCATCAGACGACCCATCGGCGTAGGCTATCCGGGTGGCGGGCGGCAGAGTGGTCCTTGGCTTTAAAATAAATGGCGGCAACAACGTGAAGGAAGAACTCCTCAGACTTACCCTGGGGATCAACACGACCTGCGCTCTCCCTCAGAGCCATCCGCCAAACTGGTCGCCGGACAGGAGAACAAACTAGGTGTTAATCTAGTCCTACTAATAATTTTAAAATATGAGAATTAGGAGTAGACTAACCTCCGCCCTAGAAGAATGATATGTTTTAAAGAAGTTTCACTTTTTACAAATGTCCAAAAATATAGTTTGGAAAATCCAAAAGTGCAGGCCTCATGAGCGTTTCATTTAATTTTTTGATGAAAAAAAAATAGTGATGATAATTTTACAAGAAAAAAAAAACAAACTGATCGACTTTCATTAATAACTTTTAAACGGAATTCAATAACAAAAATCAATAGGAATTCACCTTAGAATATATATATATATATGGAATCTTGTTTAATACTACGAGTATATATCTCAATCTGTTGCCTAAATTTCTATTAAGCAAGAAGACTCACTGACGCACAGACCAACGGATGGCAGTCCATATATTTTTTTCAATTACATTTTTTGTTGTGTAATCTAAAGTAAATCAATTAGAAAATAAACTTATCTTATAATTCAATATGTGTAGTTATTATAACGTTAATAATAATATGGATTTGATGTCTAGCTAAAAGTATAAAAACAATTTTATGTAGCGAAATTGAGGTATGACCACATATCGAGCGTAGAGCACTCCCTCACGTTGTGAGGCGTGGAATTACACCCGCAATTTTTTTATTCGCTTCAACTTCAATCGAATATAACATTATCTTGAACCCACTCGTAAAATTGAGAACTCTTAATGTAATAAGTATTTACTTGTCACTCCCGTGACGGACTTGACACTGGAACTAGAACTAGAGCATTCTCTTGGTAATGTCCATTAAACGGGTATTAAACTACAAAGAATCAGGACCCTGAATTAAGGGTGGGCGTGGCCTCTAGAAAAGAGTTACAAAGAGAAAACACTGCAAGAGTTATTACACTGCACTGATTTTACGCCCTTATTCAGTCAGAGAGCGAATGTTGGAGAGGCTGGACGTATAGAATACGGGTGACAAAAGAGCATACAGTCTACCCGATGGTAAGTGGATGCTGTTACTCATAGACTTATCCTCGATTAAGAATCAAAATGCAGATGCGTTGTCACACCTGACGATTAAGATTGAATGCCTCATTTCTAGTAAAAAGGGTCTCCGGTTCTCTAAACTCACCACACGAAACACTAAGCTGGTCATTTATCAAGGTATTCCGTGAGAGCCAGCCCATTCGTGTTACTACCATAATATAGTTGCAGCGTGGCTCTACTACGTAAAATTATATTAGAAAAAACAAAAAAAAAGTCGCTATTGCTATGGCTGTCACACTTGTACACTTTTAAACCTTCGCTTCTGATGTCCTTATTTATATAGTCTTTGTGGTCTTTCTTCCACAAATAAAGTGTACAAATCATTGAGTTATATATACTACGTACTAGAAAAGTCATTCCAAACAAAAATTGTGTCCTACTCTATGTCTTCGCGCATGCGCGGGAGTAGTAGTCGCACATGCGCTAACACTCTAATTTGATATAAAATAAGATATTAATATAAAATAAATATAAGGATTTAATATAAAATATCTTAATTTAATCTAAACAAACATATTTCTAAATAAAATGTAGTAATAATTATTTTATGGAATTCACAAATCTTTAATTTACGCAATATTTAGTTTGTATGGATTGCACTACAGTTCAGTTGAACATAGTCAATGTTCGGAATGGCTTCTCTAGTACTTAGTACATATAACTCAATGGTACAAATCTTTTACAGACAACAACACTTTTTTTTGTTGTACATGGCTGCGCGCCAAAACTGAAATACGAAAACAAAACACACGACCGCTCTCCGCGCTCGCCTCACGTCGTTTAAATGCCCTAACTGCCCTAAGTATTATTACACTGCACGGTGGTAAGCGCACTAAGGTAGTAATGCGGTTTTTTTCTTGATAGACATCTACATCTATCTTCACTTGCGAATCCAAATGCAGATGTGTTGTCAGCCTTGAGGACTAAGATAGAATGCCTCTTTTCCAGTAAATAGGGTCTCCGGTTCTCTACACTCACCATACGAAACAAAGGTGCATTAAGCTTAAGCTGCTATTTTACGCTGGTATTCTGTGAGAGCGTGGTCCTTCCCGGTCGAGTCGACCCATTCGTGCTACAACTATACAATTAAAATAGTGTAATAAGGGTATTCCTCTTATTATTATTAAACCGCTCTTATTAAGTATTTAGGGACTCTTATGCAGTGTAGTGTAATACGCCTTTTAGCACTGATAGTAAAAAAGTGTATTTTTGTTACAGACTTTCTTTAATTTTGAATAATTTCTGGTACCCAGCCTCGGATAGCGGTATAAAATAAATTGGCACTGGCAGCCCTGAGGAACACTGTTCAGCTGTAGGAGTTTTGGCGGGAACTTGACCGGCGGCGGTTTGTTGCTCCTGTTTTATTGTATAAATAATGGTTTGAAGTGGACTTTGATATGTAAAAGTGGTGCGCTTTTGTGTATTAAGTATCTGCGCATGTGAACTATTATTGGAAACTGTGAAACAAGTGCTCTGATAATGATGTGATTCTCAAAATAAGGTGCCTGTCTGCTGGCTCAAGATACCGTCAAAATCTCTCAAGGGCTGCACAGTGTGACGCATCAACATATTGTGAAGCAGTATACTATGAAGAATAATTATTATAATATAATATATAACTTCAGGCTCAGAAGGGCTAGATCCCAGAGCCGTAAAGCCAGTTATCAAGAAGAGAAGAGTGTTTAGCTGTCAATTCAATGACATATTCTTTTGCTTCGTGTAAAATTTGTGATTAACAATTTTCAAATCCGTCTGTTTATCAATGAATATGGTTTACATTAATAGATAATGGTTATAAATATTTTTGGCTATTTTACTTTAAAGAATAATAGTGAATAGAGGAAGAAATAATAGGGTTTTTTGTTATAATGGAGGATCTCAATTTGACAGAGACCGAAATGAGATATTTCGGTGACTTGTTTTTGTGTTGCGACGAGGAATCCAATGGAAAAATACCGATTTTAAAAGCCACGGAGCTGTTTAGGTCATCAAACGTACCAAACGATGTTTTACGGCAGGTAAATAAAATAGGCATAATCCATAATAACTGTCTGTGAACAATTATTCGCACTAATTATGCGTTACAGATCATGGATATCAGCGTGGCTCCAAACAACTGTGCGACTCTCAATCATTTGAATAGAAAACAATTTTACTCTGCACTCAAATTGATAGCAGCTCATCAGACTAATATATCATTAAAACCAGAACTTCTGTCTTTGCCTTTGGATCTTCCGCTTCCACGATTTACATGGGCGCTTAATTCTGATCCTAGCGCAGATCTAATACAGTTATCAAATTCACCGAAAGAACAGTATATATCTAAAAGAGAGAGAAATTTTGGTGGCAATCTTGGTGCATATGAGCCCATTAGGTTATCCTCGAATTTATCTGATAGTGATGTACCGCAAGCTTTGTCTCATGATGCTACTGAAGGAGTTAGCACAGATTCAGAAATAGAGTCTGAAACAATGTCACAAAGATCAGGTTCATGTGGGGTAAGTTTTAGAAATGCACAATATATTTTATTTAGATCTAACAATTATTAATATAGCAATGAATAAAAACTGTTTACTTGGACAATTGCTGTGATTAAAATATTCCGTTTATTTAAATTAAGATTGCTGATTTAAGACAACAAACAACAAACAGGAATTCAAAGATACAGTTAAGGTAATAAACATTGAATCATACATGTCATCATGCTCTTATCAGTTAGAATTATCTAGTATCATGAGTTTATGGAAAATTATAATATTTGTCTTTTTTATTTTAAATAAATTGAAAAGAAAAATAAAATAAAGCTATCTTAAACTAGCTAACTTTAATTTCTAAGTTGCAGAAATTTGACTTGGAAATACTTTTGACCTAAGAATATTTTTTCTTAGAGAAGTTTCTTTTGTATTAACTCTTCTTTTTTTTGCGCTTTGATAAATTCTCCAATGACCAATTGAATGGAAAATGAAATCTGATGAATTTAATTAAAATGAGAGTGTGATAATATAAAAATTTAGTTTTCCTCCTCGAATTTTGATAAATCTATCAGTTAAATTACTTAGAACAAATGACAAACATAGGTGTTCGAATCTTATTAGTATGTTAGAAGTGACAATGATTTAAAGTTTTATGTCAATAGTATTAATAAAATCACATAAAATAGTTTGGCAAATCTAAAAGTGCATACCTCATGAGTGTTTGTTTTTTATCAAAATGAAATGAATATTTGATAATTTGAGAAAATAACTTTTAAGCAGTGTTGAATTCAATGACTTAAATCAATAGAGATCCTACTTAGAATTTATGGAATAGTATTTAATACTATATATCTCAATCTATTGCTTACATTTCTATTAAGTGAGAAGACTCACCGATGCAGAGACCAATGGATGGTAGTCCATATCTTTTTTCTAATGGATGGTAGTCCATATCTTTTTTCAATTCCATTTTTTGTTGTGTAATCTAAAGTGAATCAATTAGAAAATAAACTAATCTTATAATTCATCTATAAATTAATGGTAATAATAATAATATAATTCAATGTCTGTAGTATAACTACAGATATTGAATTATATTATTATTACCATTACAATAACGTAATGGTAATAATAATATGGATTTGATATCTAGCTAAATGTATAAGAACGATTTTATGTAGTGAAATTGAGGTATGGCCACATATTGAGAGTAGAGCACTACCTCACAATTCAATATACACAAAAGAAGCATTTTTATATGTTAAAAGAGAATTAAAATCATTGTGAGACAATGTCAGTGCATTGCTCATATTGGGCTTCTATTAAAATTATGTCAATTTACACATGGCAATAGTAGTTTATAATCATAATGAAATCTATCAATTAAACAATACATTCATGAAATTAGCTGTTGTTATTCTTTTAACCTTGATGATACAATTACCTATTAAAAATATTCTTTTATATGTGGTAGAGCCATGTTGCAGCTATGTTATGGTTGTAGCTTGAACGGGTCGGCTCAACATATTTTTTGACTACATATGTTGCGTGATATCTTCTTCAATTGTGAATCAATTTTGAACTTTGGTGATGGTCCCATATAAATTTAGTGACAAAATTCAACCTCTAAAATTAGCAAAATAGTTTTAATGAACAATTTAGACAACATTAAGAGAAATTACCTACAACCTTGATACTAATGCCAATGTGCCTACTGATTTTATGAATATAAAATGAATACAATTTACTGAATACTTTCTATTTTCTACTTACTTTTTTTAAGAGCATCAAGTAGCAATTGTTTGTCGATGTACAATTTATATATTTAAAATGTCTCCATCATACAGGAGAAGAAGTGAATAGTTCCTTAGAATTTCTGCTGTATAATAGAGGTACTTTTGTACATAGACAAACAAATACAACATGATGTTATCACACCGTCATAACTGACAAATATTGCCCAAGATTGAGCAATTATTTCCTGTTGGTGTTGTAAGACGCAATTATTGAATATGTCAAAAAAGTTAAGGATTCCGACTAATGGCATTGTAGCAGCGCTTAAAATGCCGGCGACGTAAAACAAGCGTTAAAGTTGTGAAACGTCTGGTACTGCGATCGTAGATCCATCTGCCAAGTGTGACGTGATCCATCCTACAATAGAAAAGACCTGTGTCCAGCAGTCTTTTATGGGCTTATGAAGAAAAAGAAAAGTTAATCTTCGGATTATGGAAATGCTACTTTACACATGCACCATCTCGCACTTAGACAATTTTTTTAATTTCTCTGTGAAATGATTTTACAAAGAAAATAATGACTTTGGCAGAGGAGAGTTAAGACTGGATCGCCATGGAGTACCGCAAGTGAGAGTCCAACGCCGACCAACAGCGTAGCAGAACGGGTACACCCTGTGTGGGAGCACAGTGCAACAGGAAGAGGCGTGTGGCCAACCAACACAGCAGAAGAGCACACCCAACTGCTTGGTAAGAGTTAAACTGAACTTTCATTTGTGGTACATATATTAATAATATTAATTTAATATATGTATATTGTTACTGCCTACTACATAATGATATTGTAAATTATTAACACAGAAGATAATAGTTAGTGACACAAAATGAATCCCTAGTTTCAAACCTTTCTATCAATTCAATTCAATTTATTAGCTATTCTTACGTTATTGATAACTCTACATACATTGGCCCAACTAACCCAATAGTAGCACTTAACGTCATAAAAAACTAAAAAATAAAAGAAGCCATGGGTTTCATGAAATACTGCCAACTCTAATAAAGACATGTGCCGATGAACTTGACACACCACTTACTCGTCTTATTAACCGATCTCTGTCGCAAAGAATTGTCCCAGCTTTATTAAAAATAGTAACAGTAATAAATAATAAACAAACTGCTACACAAAAAAGGTGACCTGGATTGCAACAAATATCGTCTAATAGCGCTCCTCCCAACATTTTTCAAAATATTTTAAACAGTCATATATACACATAACAGACACTATACCTTCTTTGAAAAATATAATATATTCAGTGACTGACATGTATGGCAAAAGACCACCGTATGGCTTTCGAAAGGGTCACTCTAAGGAAAGTGTTGAAGGCAATTGACAACAAACAACATGCTATTGGTAATTTTTAGACATGAGCAAGGCCTATGACACTTACTTGATGACTATTAAAAAAACTTTATAATATAGGTGTGAGAGGTCTGGCCCATAAATGGTTCGTATTGTACCTTAATGAGCGCATCCAATATGTATATTGTATAGTATGTAGATGTAGACTACAATGACCCAAAAACTGGAACTATTGAAATTATAAGGTCTGAAAAAATATTATTAAATCTGTCGATAATAATCCAAGGCAACATGCTGGACTGTTTCCTGTTTTTAATATATGTGAATGATCTTCCGAATATATGTAATATAATATCCCTTGTGTTCTTTTTGCTGATGATATTTCATCATTTCTTCCCTATCCCAATAGCACAAAATTAGACCCTCTAATTTAATTGTAATAAATTGCTGGATCCAAGATCACTACCTCGAGATCAATTTCAATAAAATCAAACTCTTGCAATATACACCATACTAAAACGCCCTTTACACATCAACTACCAATATCTAAACATTCCCTTGGAACGTGTAAACTCCTACTGTCTCCTGGGTATAAATATAGATGCACATTTAAATCGGAAGGAACACATTATAACAGAACTTTAAAAAAACACGGACTTAAAAACAGCAACCTGTGCCTACTACGCGTACGCAGAAGCCTGGTTACGCTACGGTTTCATACTTTGGGGTAACAGCACAGACGCTGATAAAGTATTTCTTATTCAGAAATGGCGGTGTAAGAATTTCCACTACCCCATATCATCCCATGGGTGTCGTAGCAGGTGACAGAGGGAAACAAATCAGGACATGGGCAGCAGCGTCTTCCTAATAACGACAAAATTAAAAAAAACTGCGGTTGCTAACCCGCTCGCCAAGCGTGGCAGTTATGGCAAACATCCAGTATGAGGCAATCTGTGGGGGACACCTATAGCCAGCAGTGGACTTTAGTAGGCTGTAACGGCAACGGTAATGACAAATTAACGCAACATTATTCTTTATCAGTCCTTAATGGCCCGCCCTTGGACTTGGGTCTCTCCTATAATAGGGTATAGATATAGAGAATGTGCTATAATCGTTACGCTTGGTTGGCGAATTATTAATCGCATGACCGTGGTATCTGGATTCTGGCACATGTAACGTCTGAGTAATTGATATCTGGGTTTACACGAGATGATTGCTTCTAACGTCATGTGCGTATCGTTATCTATCGAAAGCGACCTTTCTGGTATTTCCCTAGTTGTCTCTTACATTTACGGGACAATATGCGTTGATGATTGCGCCGCCGCCACATAGCAATGACACGTCATTAAACGAGAGGGGGGCCCGTGCCCAGCGGTCGCGTTTTCCATTTTACGTTCATTTACTTTTCGTAAGCAGCAATCACATGAAGCATTATTTTGTTACACTTCAACTAATGGCGGGAAGATTTAGCTGCAATAGTTAAGCGCAATAGGTTAAAATTGAATAGACACTGACGTAATTTAACTAAACTATAGTGCAGTCACTGGTGTATAATAGGTCACCTTGGACAATTTTTAAACGATTCTCGTAGTGAACCGGCGCGGCGGCGTATCGGTTTATACGTATTATAATATACGGAAATTACTTTTTTAGAGCATGCTTCATTTAGGAGTCCACTTTATTTGATTTTTCTACGTGCTAGAGCCATGCTGCAGCTATATTACTGGTATAGTTGTAGAATGGTTCGGCTCGACCGGGGAAGGACCACGCTCTCACAGAATACCAGCGTCAAATGGCAGCGTAATACTGCTGTGTTTCGTATGGTGAGTGTAGAGAACCGGAGACCCTTTTTACTGGAAACGAGGCACTCCATCTTAGTCCCCACGGGTGACAACGCATCTGCGTTTTGATACGTAATCGAAGATAGATGTAATCGTAATCGACTATGTCTATGGGCCACAGCAACCACTTACCATCAGGTGGACTGTGTGTTCGTTTGTCACCCTTATCTTACAAAAAAAAATGAGGATATACATTCAACATAGATTATTTACGAAGAAAAATATTATTTATTAGCGTTCCGTCCTGACTCCAAGGTGATTTCTGGACCTCGACAACAGAGCTACCTGCCGAATCCAATTGTGAATCGTTTAGATCTTCCAGGGATGATCCCACTCAAACACACAAAAAATTTCATCAAAATAAGTACAGCCATTTTCGGGTTTTGCAAGACTAACGGACAGCAATTGATTTTTGTATATAGAGACAACTATCGCGTTTTCCTTTACTTCACCATTTTTTCCCGATAATCTTCTGTAACATGCGTGAAAGCAACAATGTTTTATCAATGTCAGTATATGGTAGAGCCATGCTGCAGCTATATTAGTAGTATAGTTGTAGCACGAATGGGTCGGCTCGACCGGGCAAGGAACACGTTCTCACAGAATACCAGCGTAAAATAACAGCTTCATGCTGCTGTTTTGCATGGTGAGTGTAGAGAACCGGAGATCCTTTTTACTGGAAAAGAGGCATTCTGTTTTAGTCGTCACGCCTGACAACGCATCTGCATTTTAATTCGCAAACGAAGATAGATGTAGATGTCTATGGGCCAGACATACATTACATTATAGTTACAGTTATTTTTGAGCTCTGAAGCCTGCGTTAGTTAAAACTGTGCTACAGGCTTCAGACTTCCCCATCTATTGTCAAAGTATTATAATGTATATTAGTATTATAAAGAAATAATAAAAATAATATAAAAAGTAATAATATGGTACTAATTCTATTCTAAGGCTAAATTACATGTGTGTGTGTGTGTGTGTGTGTGTGTGTGTGTGTGTGTGTGTGTGTGTGTGTGTGTGTGTGTCTGCGTGCGTGCGTGCGTGCGTGTGCGTGCGCGTGCGCGTGTGTGTGTGTGAGAGAGTGAGTGAGTGTGTGTTATTAAGTGATCTTCGTGAACAAATCTTCAGTTGCATCGTAATTCAAGCCGTTAAGAGTTTGTTTTAGGATTTTCTTAAATTCGTGGTTATTAAGATTAATAACCGTTTTAACGTTTCTGTTAATAACAGTTTTAACTTTGTTAAATAATTTATTATAGTGCTTGGTGCACAAAAGTTGTAGCTTTTTCTTGCAAACACGGTCCTGACCCTAGGTACGGGTAGTCTTGTTACTCGTTTGTTACTTTTAGGAAGACCAGGCACAAAAAGGCGGTGATACCTACGGAGACACTGATATATAAATAATTTACGTACTGATAACATACCGCACCGCTTGTACAGGTCATATGTAGGGTATTTAAAAGGCAACCGCAGCATAACTTTAAGGACGGTGCGTTGCGCACGCTCTAGTAGAATAAGGTGTGTCTTTGCTGCGCACCCCTAGACACAAATACAATATGAAATAATGCTCTCACACAGGGCCCTATAGGTTAGCAAAAGAACATCATAACTAGCCACATCACGTAAATTTTTAAATATGTAAACTAGCCTTCTTGTTTTACTCGCTAGAGCAGTTACTTGTGGGACCCAGCTAAGCCCTTCATCAACAATAACTCCCAAATACTTTATGCATGTCACACGTGACAAATAATCACGTGGCAGGTAACCGCAGTAGCCTGTTACATGGGTGAGTATGGATTTGAATCTGGAAGTTATTGCCAGGTCGAGAACTGGTTGATATACCAAAACAATATATGGACTGGCTATACACCGTGATATAGTGAGGCGATTTTATTTTCGCCATTTTGGCGCATACAGCAGAAGTGAACGTTCACGGAACTAATAATAGAGATAAGACAGTGTGAAAAAATATATCGATAAGAATTCTATACTCAGGCCTACCCGAAACGTCCATTCTATTTATGTATCATATTATTATAATGCCATACAATAAATAAATGTATCAATTAATATATAGACCTTAGACGCAAGCTTTATACCTCATATAAAACAAGAATTGCCGCCGCGTTGATCTATCTACGTTTTTATTCGTAACTGCAGAACGGATTTTGTTCCGAATTTCAAATGAGAAAATGCCTACGCATACCTGCATTGCCGGGGCAAGAACGGATTTTGTCGGACTTGCACCTACTATACCCCCAAGATGTTCCACCTTCAACACACATTGACAGGGCGCGCCCCCATCCACGGCCCCACCAGCGAGGACCCCTCCTTAGTTGAGGACTTCCCTCCTCGACTTCCCGAGCCCGATATGTGGAGGCCATGGAACCAAGAAAAAACGAGCACACGGAAGCACCAAGTGGTACAGTCCCGCCAAAGTCACGGAGGATAGTCGAGTGACGCATTACCATACCAACAGACATCTTCCCTTGCGACTCCATCTCGGCTGCAGCGATATAGAGAGAGGACTTTCCTCTAGCCGCAGCTCACTA